ATTACAGTCACCTGCCACCATGCCTGGCTAATTTTTGTATTTTTAGTAGAGACGGGGTTTCACCATGTTGGCCAGGCTGGTCTTGAACTTCTGACCTCAGGTGATCTGCCCGCCTCTGCCTCCCAAAGTGCTGAGATTACAGGTGTGAGCCACTGCTCCTGGCCCAATTTGAGTTTTTTCAATATCTTCCATTTCGGTCTTCTTCATGTTCATATTTTCCTCTGCCCTCTTGAATATATAGAGTATACTTAAACGTTTTAATATCTTCGACTATTAATTCTATCTTCAGTATCATTTCTGGATGTTTTGATTGATTAATATTTGTTCCCAGTTATAAGTCAGGTTTTCCTGCTTCTCTTTTCAGTAGAGGCCAAACATGGTGAATTTATGTTATTGGGTAATGGATTTTTTAAATTCTCTTTTCATTCCTTTTAATATTTACAGGCTTGTCCTCTGATGCAGTTAATTTCTTGGCAATAGTTGGATCCCTTTGAGGCTTCTGGGGTGGGTTGTTTGTTTGAGACAGAGTCTCACTGTGTCACCCAGGCTGACATGCAATGGCAGTATCTCGGCTGCAACCTCCGCCTCCCAGGTTCAAGCGGTTCTCATGCCTCAGCCTCCCAAGTAGCTGGGACTACAGACGCGTGCCACTGTGCCTGGCTAATTTTTGTATTTTTAGTAGAGACGGGGTTTGTCCATGTTGCCCAGGCTGGTCTTGACCTCCTGGCCTCAAGTAATCTGCCTGCTTCGGCCTCCCAAAGTGCTGGGATTACAGGCATGAGCCACCGTGCCCAGCCGAGGCTTGTTTTAAAGCTTTGTTTGGACACATCCAGAAGAGTTTTGACTCTAGGATTAATTTGGTCCCACTACTGAGGCAATACACTTTTTAGCTGTCGATGCCTCATGTATTAGGAGGTTTTTACACTCTGGCTGGTGGGAATATTATCTGTTCTCAGCCCTGTATGAGCCTCAGGGATTGTTCCACCTGCCTGTCCTGTGAATGTTTTCCTAACCTTAGTACCTTCCTCAAAAGCGTACTCAACCAAATTTTTGGGGTAAACTCTCTGCAAAAGACACAGAACTCTCTATTTCTATAAGGCCCTCTCCTTTCCGGAATTCTGTCCTATAAATTCTAGCCACCTTTACCCAAACTCTGAAGTCTGTGTCTCAACTCAGTGAGACCAGCAGAATCTGATTGCCCTCCCTGCCTGCAGTGCTGGGGACCTAGAAAGGCTCTTCAGGCAGTAAGTGGGGCACTCACAGGGCTCACCTTATGTGTTCCCCTTCTCGGAGCTTGTTGTCCTATCCTGTCTGTTGTCCAATATTTGAAAACCATTGTTCAATATATTTTCTCTGGTGGTTAAAATTTGATTTTGGGCAGAGGGTAAATCCAGTCCCTGTTACTCCATCATAGCCAAAAGCAGAAGTCCTGCGTCACTTTATGGTCACCTAGAATGCAACAGATGCTGTGAACACAGGTTTGTTACTCCTCACACCCACTCTAAGTCGTAAATATCATTCCTCTCATTTTACAGATGAGGAAACTGAGATTCAAAATGGGTAAGTCACTTGCCCAGAAAGTCAGAGTTGTAACTGTAAAACTGGGTGTTAGGCCTGGCATGGTGGCTAACACCTGTAATCCTAGCACTTTGAGAGGCGAAGGCAAGTGGATCACCTAAGACCAGGAGTTCGAGACCAGCCAACATAGTGAAACCCCATCTCTACTAAAAATACAAAAATTAGCCAGGTGTTGTGGCACGCACCCGTAGTCCCAGCTACTCAGAAGACTGAGGTGGGCGAATCGCTTGAACCCAGGAGGTGGAAGTTGCAGTGAGCTGAGATTGCACCACTACACTCTAGCCTGGGCGACATCTCAAAAAAAAAAAAAAAAAAAAATTGGGTTTTAAACCTGGGTCTTACTGACTCAAAGTCTAAGCCAAGTTCCCTGTTTGAAGCATCCCTACCCTCCCAGAACCCTGGAGTACTCCCATGTTCCCCTCTCCACCCAGCTCACCTTCATTTCACTCTGATGTTTCTTGCACCACTACTGACTGTCATTCATGATGACTGCCACCTGCCTCCTTGGTTTTGCATTCCCTTTCACCTACTCCTAGTCTAGCGACCTGAACGACTTGAATATATGTTCCACTGATTCAGCAGCTGGAATGCAAGGCCAGTGCTGAATGCTCCTGCCAGACTCTCTCAAGTCGTTCAGGTCGCTAGAGTAGGAGTAGTTGAAAGGGAATGCAAAACCAAGGAGGCAGGTGGCAGTCATCATGAATGAGAATCAGTAGTGGTGCAAGAAACGTCAGAGCAAAATGAGCGAGACAGTAGCCTCATATTCAGTGTGGTCCCTAACTGAAATTTCATACCTGCAGCCCGTGGTAAGGGCTTGAAATTGTTTTATTGATAGTCATATAACTTCTTTCAGAGCAGAGGCCTCGTGTCAAACTTCTCTTAATACCTGCAGTGCTATGTACATAATATGCATGTAATGAGTATGCACTCAATATGCCATCATTGGCATTGCATTTGCAAAATGCTTTCATAGAAATGGCTTCATTCTGTTTTCACTACAACCTTATGAAATAGGCAGAATAGCCTTTTTCAGGCCAGTTTTATAGATGAGGGAGGTGAGGGCGCATAGGCTGCTGTGATCACATGATTTGACACATGATTTGACAAGGGGTTGAAGCTGACCAGGAGTCCAGGCCTTTGCCCAGATTTCTTATTCACTCATGATGCCAGAGTCCCAAAGACCAGTTGGCAGTCCAGTGCAAGGCTTGCACTTTAAGAAATTTCCCGTCATGGCACATGCCTGTAATTCTAGCTACTTGGGAGGCTGAGGCACAAGAATTGCTTAAATTGGGATATGGAGGTTGCAGTGAGCCAAGCCTGGGTGACACAGCGAGATCCTGTCTCAAAAAAAATTTTTTTTGCAATAGTCCTTAAAGAAATTACGAATGTAACGACAGTACAGTTTACTTTTCGTAAAACTAAAGTTATTTGATTTAAAGAGCTATCCTTTGTTTTCAGACTATGCCCTTCCTACTTTGATGTAAAAATGTTTGCTCGTTTACAGTGCTGACAGTTGTTATTTCTTGACATACCAAAAGTTGCCACACCTTTCTCTGTCCCTCTAAACTTTTGGACATTTGCTGATATGTAAAATCTAAAGTAGGAAGTCCTACATTACATTATATCATACCATATCTTTTGAGTAAATAAACGAATGAAGGATTTCAAACAACCAAAAATTCTTATTCTACCAACTTACCTAGGAGAAGTATCCAAACTAGAGAGATTAGATTGGTAAAAATTGGTGTTGGGATGTCTTTGGTCTCACATTGTGCCAATGCATCATCTTGGGTTTGGGGTTGGGGGAGGGGTTTAAAAAGAGAGATCATTCTCCAAAATAACTGGATTGAGGTTCTTTGAGTAACAATGCTTGACACGATGCCTCTGTGTGTGTGTGTGTGTGTGTGTGTATGTGTGTGTGTGTGCAATTTTCTTTCGACAGCCTGATCAAATACTCTGCCCACTTAAGGGAAATTGACCTTGGAAACAATGTTCTGGGAGAAATGGCTGCTGCTGAAATACTTGAAGCACTGAGAGCCAGAAAGACAGGTAGAGTGTTTTCAGGTTACGTGTTTCCCCTCCACCTGCCCACAGCCACTCACTCCTAAATGCTGTACTACTCACAACTTGCTCCGCTTTTTTCATTTAAGTAACTGGCCCGAACTATGCAATGACCAGGAACACTGTCACAGGCCAGCCATCATTGTGTCAATTTTCCTGGTGATTTGCACAGAGTTCAAGAATTTCTAGGATGTTATATGTAGCCTTCGATCTAAGTAACACATGTTTTTAAAGGGAAATTTTCTCTATTGCTTTTTTTCTCTCTTGCTCCTCTCATCCTTGCCTGTTCTCCAAGAAATGCTTCTCCCACTCTCCATTCTCTTCTCAGCCCAACCTGCAGAGAGGTCTCCAGATATCAGTTAGAAAATTCAAGTAACACCCCCCATAAGATTTTGATGTGCTTTCTGGATCATCAAAGAATGATTAAATTCTGATCGGCATAGGGAGAGCAATACGTCTTTTATGATGCTGCAATCCTTTGAAAAGGAGAGAATCACGTGTGGAAGGAGTTGGTTCCTATGGCCACTCCTGCCCTCTCCATCGCCAGCACGCATGACCGGAATTAATGATGGCTGCTCGCCCTGCTAAGGCAGAGGAGGGGAAGAAATGTCATTTTAAATGAAGCTCAAAGGAAGACTTCAAAAACACATTTGAAAACGCAAATTTAACCTTAAGAAAAGTAGAAAGAACTCTTGGTGTGTTACTGGGCAGGTTAAGCTGAGAGAATTAAGCAGTCCAAGCATCGGTCTCTACCATTTCCTCAGCATGGTCTTAGAGACATAGTATAATCATAGATTGCATTTGTCTTTTAATGCTCTAGAGTTTTAGATAGAAGAATTGTAATGATATTACTATATATTGTATTAACATTTTTAAAACTAAAACTCCATTCAAGTGATTCCATGATGTTTAAATTATGTCTTTATTTTAGAGAAACAGAATATCTACTTTCTATTCCTTTAGAGTTGAATTCAATTTCAGCAGAATTACTCTGTTAAATTTAGTTCAAATATAGCTTTAAGCTTGATAAACTGAAGGCAGGTGAATGATTTCATTTTGTTTTTCCTGGTACCATAGTAACTTTTTCATTATACATTGAGGGAGAAGATGTTACAAGTCTGCAGGCAGTCTCGTGACCATGACTCTAGTGAATGCTAATGACAATCAGTCTCAGATGACTTGATGGAAAATGATTATCTCTGAGTACGTATTTGGAGCTGGAAAACATCATGCTTTGCTTAGTAAACGTTTTAATTTGCATAAATGAGAAGATAATTATGAAATACCCACCTGAAAATACAAATACTCATTTAGAAGGCATTAAAAAGTAATTTATAGTTCAAGAAATCATTTTTTTCAAATATAGTAATATATATAATGAGTAGCCTTAATGCATCTATCTCTTGAGCTGAAATAATTATGGTGTTTCTGATGGAACACTTCAATTGGATTGTTAGTTTGAACACCAAGAAGATTCCTCAAAACAGGGTTAACTGCTTGGATTTTATAGGGAAAATCTCTTCCCATTTTGCCCTAACGGCATCATTTTAAACATTAAAAGCAATAGTAGTATTACTGATTATGGAAAGAAAGCTCTTTAATTGATTGTTTCTTAACATTTGCAAGTTAACAAGCTAATTTCTAATTCTAATTCTAATTCTAATTCATTCGTGAAATCCAAATTAACAGCCTGAGGCCTCTTACTTGGCTATCAAGGAGATCTTAATAACCTGCCTTTAATGATGGACTAGGCCAATGAAATCTTCCTGAGAGAAATTAGCAACCTCATTTCATTAAAAAAAAAAAAGCTAGTGAAACAGGAAGCTGTTATCCTGTCTTACTGCTTTTTCACTAATAAGAAAACAGAGTACTGAAGGAACATTTCATTTATTCATTCTTCTTTCTTTATATATTTGTTAAATTCCTATCATGTACCAGGCCCTGTTCTAGACCCTGGAGAGGGGAGTCATGAATTCCTGCCTTCATGAGGCATATATATGATTGTATATCTGATGGGGATCATACTTAGAGGAAAAATAAAGCAAATGGGGGGTAAAGTGTGTGTCAGGGTGTGGGGGTTGCCATCTTAGTGAGGGTAGCCAGGGAAGGCGTTGCTGAGAAGGGACACTTGAGTAAAGATCTAAAGCAGTGACAGAGAAGGCCACGTGAATATCTGAGAGATGAGTATTCTGGCTAGAAGGAACAGCAAGTACCAAGGCCTTAAAGTAGAAGCCTCCTGGTGTGTTCAGTAAAGCCGCCAGCATGACTGAATGGAGTGAGCTAGAATGGGAGAGTCAGAGGACAAACAATTTGAGATGCAAGTATGCAGAGCAGAAAGCATTCTAGACCCTTGTGAGGACTTTCAGGTGTAACTGTTGACATGGAAAGGCTTTTGAGAATGATAAACCTAGAAGTAACCTAATGTAACCCACATTTTAACAGGATTGCTACAGCTCTATGTTAAAAATAGACTATAGGGGAGGCAAGGGCAGAACAAGGATTCTAGTTAGGGAGTTTTCTCTGGAAAAAACTACACAGGGCCTTTCAGCAGACCCAGAACACCCAGCAAGGTGGAAAATGTGGGTTGGGGAGAAGCTACAAATATGAGAATTAAGGAAAATTGTATCCATTGAGCAGTTGAAATTCAGTCCTTACTACCGCCCCAAGCTTATCTGCCCTGCTTCCAGAAGGCTGACAGCCCTGTAGAAGATTGGGGTATTCCTTGAGAAATTGAATAGCCCTAGAAAAAGAAATTCTAGATGCTGACAACTGGCCATCTCCTCACCATTCAAAGAAGCCTAGCAGGTCAGCAAGCCCTGAACATACATGAGAGCTGCCCATTAGCCTTTGTATGTCTTATGCTTCATTGTGAACAGATACCTGAGAACCTCCAGACACTTGAGGCAAGTAGCCAACAAGAAACAGAGGGAATAAAGGAACCCGGAAGATATGGAAACAATGCAGAAAACTAAAGAAAAACAAAAAAGCTATAACATTGTAACATTCTGAATGGAAGAAAAGATAAGGCATCCATAAAAAAGGAATGGGGTACTATGAAAAAAGAACAATTCGAAAATAAGAAAAAGTTTTTGGAAAGTAAAAAAGATAGCCAAAATAAAATATTCTGGTGAAAAAAAAAAAAGGTTGACAGTTAAAATCAAGAAAGTCAGGCCTCTGCTCCTCCAGTTCGACAGACAACTGCATTTTCTCACGCAGCACCAGCTGCGCCCCTCAGACACCAGGGTGAAGGTGAAGGCCAGAATAAACAGATGTGTCCATAGTAGGCCCTGGTCACCAGGACTGCTTTTAACTCTGGCAAAGTGGATGTTCTCACCATCAATGACCCCTTCATTGACCACAGCTACATGGCGTACATGTTCCAGTATGAGCATGTTCCAGTATGAACAAGGCCAAATTCCACATGACCTCCAAGGAGTAAGACCCCTGGACCACCAGTCAGAGCAGAGAGGACGAGGGAGGCCCTCAGCTGCTGGGGAGTACCTGCTGCACTCAGTCCCCCACCACACTGAGACTGCCCCCTCCTCAGTTTCCAAACAATTTGAGATGCAAGTATGCAGAGCAGAAGGCCTTCCAGACCCTTGTGAGGACTTCAGGGTGTAACTCTGTTGAGATGGAAAGGCTTTTGAGAATGATAAACCTAGGAGTTACCTGATGTAACCCACATTTTAACAGGATTGCTTTAACACAGACCCCTGAAGAGGGAAGGGCTGAGGAGCCCTGCTTTGTTGTGCACCATCAACAAAGTCCCCTGTACTCAGCTCACCCTCACCCAAAGAAAGAAAGTCTTCAGAAGTAAAACAAAAGATAAGAAGATGAGGCCGGGCGCGGTGGCTCAAGCCTGTAATCCCAGCACTTTGGGAGGCCGAGACGGGCGGATCACGAGGTCAGGAGATCGAGACCATCCTGGC